AACAACAACAACTAAAACAAATAACAACAACTACTAATAACAATAACTAAATAAACAACAACTAAATTCCATTCGTTTAGCATTGCGTCATATGTTGTTCCTACTAAATCGAAGTAGTTGTGTTTTTTTCATATTATACCCAATTATTGCCTTTAAGTAAAAATGCATAACAGATTTATGAATGGTTGTTTAAAATGAGCATTGAATAATGCGAGGGATTCAAATGGCAGTCCCTTGGAAGGTTGAATCAGTTGTAAATCAAACTTATAAATCTTTTTTTTCTCTTCAAAAAATGGGGAAAATAAAAAGATAAAAAAAAAATATTCATGATAAGATGACAGGTTTTCGTTAATAAGACAATATTTCGTTTTAGAATATTATGAACATTTTACTGGAGAATATTTTGACTGTTAATTTCCGAGTAAAAATTTCGTTCAAGTGAAAAATCGTCTGAAAAGTAAAATTGGTTGCAGTGAGACTACATATTTAGTGAGTAAAATGGTAAATTAGTGAGATAACACCTCTGTTCGCTGCCGCTCAACAACTCCAATGATTACTTCTTTGACAGAAAACAGTTTTTCTACCAAAGTTAAAATTATTCACTTAACATATAGGCACTAAAAGGAATTCTGTTTGCTTACGCCATTAGTAGTATAAATATTTAGATCTATTAGTGAACAGAAGTAATTTTTCTAAGCAATCATTTTTTTAAAATAACATTATATAACATTGTATTGTTCAAACAAATTTGATGAGTTCGCAACCGTAATTTAATATTTTCGCTTAACAAACTGGCGAATATATTAAATAATATTTTTGCTTGCTTTCTAAATCATTTAATAAATCTCTTTAGCTGTAATTTATAACAGTATAGTAATGTTATTTGCACAAAAAATAATAATTGTAAAATAGTTCATAAGATTAGACCACCTTCCTAAATAACTTTATCTTAAAATGTAGAGCAGAATTTCTTTATAATAATAATAATAAAAAAAGCAATTCTTTTAGTTTTAAACTCTTGAATTGAAAGCGTAATAATAGCAATACAGAAAAATAATTTTGAAATAGGGATACAAAAATATTTATAGAAAAAAAGATAGATAACTGATGTGTACATTAAAATTAAATTAAATAAAACTTCACTTTAACTGTAAATTTATTAAAATTACTTATTTAAATTACTTATTTAAATTTTTTCAATAAAATTTTATTTTCCACCTTTTTAAAATATTATCTAAAATAAAATTATGTAATAACTTTTTTTTCATCTAATTCAACGTGTTATCACAAAAATCGTTACTTTCTCTTTCTACCATAATATTTTACAAATTAACGAATCAATTATATACACATTTTTTTCCTTACGTATATGATTATATTTTTAAAAACAAGAACAACAACAACATGAAAGGCTACTTTGAATCTTTGATTGCGAAATTAAGTTTCAGAATTAACCTCGAAACCGCGTATTCACAAAACTTGCATAAATCTGAAAATTCGATCGATGAAAAAAACTCGAATAAGTCGTAGTAAAATCCTAATAGGTGTAAAGTAAATACACTATATCCGTTAGTCTGTCAGTGAAAGATTCAAATTTATTTGAAGAGAATGTAGAAATGTTTATTTAATGTAGAAATTATACTTACACAAACTTTGAAAACTACATTGTTTGTACTTCATCAAATGGATTCAGCTTAAAAATTCGCAGTTTATTCCATTCCTGCTATTAGTTAACACTCTCCCTATATCTTGTTGAAATTTTTAATTGTTAATAAAATACTTTTTATTCATCCATTAAAGTTCAAATGCTTTTTTTAAAAAACTTGTTGTGGATGATACTTGATGCCAATGCAGTTTGTTTCAAATATTAATTCATTCATTAAATAGGGATGAGCGAAAAACGAAATAGTATTTTCTGACTGGAGAAGCGTTGGTCATTGTTTTAAATTTTATTATAAGCGATTCAGTTTTTCACATATTTTAAAAATAACATCAGTCAGGGCTCGAAAAAACTCAGAAATTTTACCCGTAACCGAAGACGGCTTGTCCAACAATGTACCCGACCTCCTTTGAAACTAACCCGTAGCTTCTAAATAAATAAAAATATAATTTTCTTTTATTTATTACTAACATCTTCTATATTATATAAAACGCTAATACGTATGTATCAATAAAACCGATGATATTTCTTTTCTCAGTTTTCATTTTTAATTGATTGGATTCGGCGCGCAAGAGCACGCAGTGAGTATTATATGGCTAATCTATATTATATAAAACGCTAATACGTTTTAATTGATAGGCTTCGGCGCGCAAGACCACGTAGGGAGCATCATATGTCTAATCGGGTGAATTCTCACTGAATTATCAAAACAATTCTCACAAAATTATCTTCATCGAAGCCGATGCTTTACATCCGGCGTTCAGTACTATTTCATATTGGTTTACGACACATGGTCTTAGCCCACTGGTGGGAAAGACTTTAAAACAAAACTTACAACAGTTACTTTTCTCAACAACTGAAATTTAGAATAGTGTGATTAAGAAAAATATGCGAACTGTTTGCAATTTCAAATTCATATTGAAATGCACAGGTTTGGAATTTTCTACAGTGAAAAGTTTTCGGAACTTCAGTGTTCAAAAAAGTATACAAAAGCAAGACGTTAAGAACGTATCCAATGAGCGAGCATCGGATTGCGAAGCAATCCGAAATGAACTACGAAAGCAGTTTCGGGGGTTGGCTAGAGCCAGCGAGTAGGGGGCGAAGCCTCCTAGGTTATATAAATTGCACAATGAATTGGTAGTTACTAGGATTACAAATACTAGGATTGCATTATACAGTATAAAAGAAATACTAGGTTACTAATAACAAAACCTAGTATTTCTTTTATGAAATAATTTAAATGACAAAGGTCAAGTTATCTGGAATGTCAATTTATTCGAGGGAACTGCGTTTTTTAAATGAATCAAATAAGACGTTTGACAGTTCCACAATAAAGCCAATGATTTACAGAAGATTCTGCACAGAAATCTGAAAGGGGTTTTCCATTTAGGTAGATGTTCATAATTGCGTTTAACTCTTCTTGTTTAAGACCAATACGTAGTTTTTTT